TGGAAAGTCCTGCAAAAGGGCAAAGCTCGCGGAAGTGGGGAGGTTCAGGGAACCCTCGCGCACTTTGTTTTGAAGACAATAAGCGCATTCATCTCTTAACTGCAGAGTCCTAATTAGGCAGCAGCCTCGCCTTTTCTGTTGATCTTTTGCCGAATGTCGCCCAGAGCTAATGTCGGGATCTCCCCCCTCCTCCATTATTTTGGCCTAACCTCAGTCTTTTTATATCATTTAATTTTGTCCTGTTTTGTCTTATGTTCGCGCCTCTTTGGTAGAGGGCTCATGCAAAGCGTCCCTTAGGCTATTTCCTCCCTTTTTCCCTTCCTCGCCTCTGTTTAATCCTTCAGCATATAAAAGAAACTGTTAATCACATATTGAAGAAGAATTAAAATCCGAGGGCTTTTTTTTATCAGTTGTAATTAGGTGGACAGTCTTTCTCTCCTTTCCCGGCTCGAGCCTGGGATGATAATTAAAATTTAATGAAGCCAGGGACTAGAGGCAGCTTCGTCTGGGGACCGTGGAATAGAATATTTTAACTGTACACTTAGACCAAGTGTCTGGCTTCAAAGACGTGACTGCTTTTAATCTCGAATTAGAAAAGCCACAGCCCTGAAATTAAATATTAGAGGTCTTTTCGGTTCCTTTTCTTTCCTAACGTCGTGTCACCGAGGCGTTCCCCTTTATTGCCCAGTAATACACATACAAACACACGCATGCACACCTCTACTTCTCCAATTACGTTTGCTTTAATAATACATGCCTTTGATAGGGTACGGAATTCTGGTGCTTTGGATTTCTTTCCTTTCCTTTCCTTTTTTTTAAAATGGAGTTAATGCAATATTAATCGGCTGCGGCTGTTATAAGAATGCGCAGGGTTTTTTTTCAGGAACAAATCGATGACGGCTGGGGATGAGAAGAGCAAAAGAGAACCTCTCTCCTTGCGGTGTAATCTCGTTTTCAAACGCTCCCAAAGCTTTGGGTGAGTCAGATTGTCAGTTCTGTTTGTGTTTCCTTTGACGAGACGCCTGTTCGCGCGAAGGTAGAAAGAGGCGAGGCATCAGCGGGGCCTGGAGCTCACGCATAGGAAGCAGGGTGGGAGGGTGGATGGGAGGCAAGCCGGGAAAGGCAAGGGGAGCCTCGGCAGGCTTTCTCTGTGTTGCTGAACATGAATCGCAGGAAAACTGCCCCGTTTCCCGCGAAACAACAGCAAAGTCTCCGGAGGGGGAAAACGGCAGCTCCACCACTGGGAGAGAGAGCAGGCATTCCCTACCCCACCACCCACCCACCCACAAGCCCTTCACCTCTAATGCATGCATGGGTAGCTTAAGGAACAGCCTCCTCGCCGTCCTCACATACCTGTTTCTTCCCAACAAACGTCCCTACGCCAGAGAGACTCTGGCCCTGCTGTTTCCAAATCAATCATCCAGAATTAAGAGCTATTTTAAGCCCATTGTGTTTTAATAATCACTGCTATTTAAATTCTAATATGACTCCACCATCTCCCTCCGAGGGAATGCTCTAGAGAGCAAACCACATAAATTATTCTTTTTTTTTTGTCCTCCAAGGGGCGGCGGCGAGGGCGGGGGGAGGCACGTTCCGCGGAGCTTCTCTGTTCTTGGGCCGGAGAAGCAGGACTTAATTGGCGCGCGAGTCCCTGAAAGAGGTCCAGTGGTGGTTGAAGACATCTACTTTGGGGTGAAGATCACTAAACGGACTTATGGAATGAACTCCGTCAATTTATTATTATTATTATTATTATTATTATTATTATTATTATTATTATTATTATTATTATTATTATTATTATTATTAATCTCTCCTTTCCTCCGAGGGGCTCAGGGCGAAAGAAAAGTTGTCCGCGCCGTTTTATCTTCAGAACATGAGGTAGGTTGAGCTGAAAGAGCGTGACTGGCCCAAGTTTACCCACTGAGCTTCACTGCCGAGTGGAGATTAGAACCCAGCTCTTCCCAGTTCTACCCCGGCATTCAAACTACGATGCCTTTTTTTTTTGTTTGTTTGTTTTGGACAGACGTGGAGCGTTGGTCTATTTAGACCCTGTGACTTTGTCTAAAAGGCCAGTGCGATTCCTGTCGCCTTACTTTGGTTCCTTATTGTGAAGGTTTCTGGTCTAGCAGATGATGAGCCCGTTCCCGTTGCCAGATTATTCTAACTGCTCAATTCTGCACATGTGTAGGGGGTGCCCAAAAACAAAGGACGCTGGAGAGCCGGTGCGGAAGGCAGTGCCGGAAGAGCCTGCGGCCCAAGGCCTTTTGGGGTGAACCACGGAGTGAGGTAAGAACGAGGTAACCTTTTCCTTCCTTTCCCTAACTAACCTACTAGGTAGGCAGCCAGGTAGAAAACAGCTAATATGTCACGATGTCAAGACCTTCCACTTAGCACTTACTCTTCTGGTCCCTATTGTTAAAGGGTGTCAGAAACGTCCCCAACACACCGTGTTAATCCCGCTCTATCACGTCTTACCCCTCGCCCTCCACCTCTAGAGTCTGATTTTAAATTAAACCAGGGAGCCCCGGGCAGGCTCCGCGTGAAGCAGGAGCGCACCCTGAGTTGCTGGGAAAGAACCACAACTGGAGATGCGGCCGTCCGCTTTAATGAGAAAAAAAGAACTTTTCCTCGGGCGTAACGGGGGAGAGATTGCAATCCGGCAAGGACTTGACTGCCTGTGAGGCGGTCGGGGCAGAGATCCATTTCTTGTCTTGTACCTATGGGTCCCGATTTCAATCAACAGAACCATGTGCTGTGACTGCTTCTACACAGCTAGTGTCACTACCGCAATGAGAACGGCGACCAGTACACAGCATACCGTTGAGTAGAGTTGGCAGCCCGCTCCCACCCCAAGCCTGCATAGGGTTGCTATTGTGGAGGATCGGTGAAATTCCGGTCGACCAGTATGACGCAACACGAGCAGCTTCTGTTTAGGGGAATCCCTCTAAATAGGAGGGTTCGATCTTTCGGAGAGAGAATGGCCCCATCCTACCTCTCCCGCTTTTAAACACAGTCACTTTCTCCCTTCTATGAAACAACTCAGGGACGTAGGGTGAAAAGCCTCACTAAATTGTAACCCTCCAGCTAGGTTAACCCTCAGCCGAACAGTGAGCGAGGTCTACTCCAGAAGTCAATTGTTAGGGGCTGGTATTTTAAAAGCCCTCTTTAAGATCACCACATGTCGCCAGTTCTGTTAACGAAGGCGACAGATTCAGAAAATCAAAAGTGGAGGCGAAGTGGCCGCTTCTTACACAAGGAGGTCAAACGAACTGGAAAACTTTTTCTCTCTCTTGGGAATGAAGTTTCTTTTGATGTCCACCCCACCATCCTGCAACTTTTAAGTATTTGTCACGAATCGAAGATACTGGGGAGTTGTAGGATGGCAGGAATGTTGCAATAATGCTTTGCAAAGTACTCCTCCAAGGCCAGACAACTAGATCCATCTCTATTATAAACGTGTTTGTAAGTGTATATTGCAATTATAACTCGAAGTCTGTAATCTGGTTGAAGTTAATGTAATAAGAGGGCGGTCTATTTTTTTTTTCTTTTTGAAGTGCCAGTACTACATTTCAGCAGAACGCAGTCCTGAATAGAAAACCAATGTTCTGCAGTTCAGTTAAGTAATGTGGCAACAAGAGTCATTGGTTTTTTTTTTTTTGTTTCCACGACCTAATTATGCAAATAACACTTTGCTCCGCCCCTACTAGGTAGGCAGCCAGGTAGAAAACAGCTAATATGTCACGATGTCAAGACCTTCCACTTAGCACTTACTCTTCTGGTCCCTATTGTTAAAGGGTGTCAGAAACGTCCCCAACACACCGTGTTAATCCTGCTCTATCACGTACTACCCCTCGCCCTCCACCTCTAGCGAGCTGAGTACCCATTTAACCAACTTCAGTAAAGTGTCTGAGGAAGATGGGTTCCCTTAGGCCTTCAGAACACAGTAAGATTTCAGTCCTTATTGACCTTCCCAGGAAGTAAGGACCCTTGAATTCAGAGTATAGCCAAATCCCCGGGTGGTGATACTGCCTCTCTTTGAGAAAAGCAAAAAGGCCAAAAAATGCAAGCAAGCTTTTGAGAATCACTGGTGTCTTCATCATGCAAGATGTTACAAAAGAAAGGAGGGGATGGATGAGGTTTGATCTTAAATGCTCGTGCTCTGCCTTGTGTCTTGAGGTGTAAAGGAGGAGAGAAGCTAGGCAAACAATCAAAGGGGCTGCCTAAGTGATGTGATGTTGTTACATTTCAGCCAGTGTAGCTAACAGAGTTCCTGGCAGTCGGAGGGTTAGAAAAGTACGGCTCTCCATCATAGGCAACGCAAGTTCCTGCGGTGAACTCATGAGCTGTTTTTATCCATTGTGTGTATTACGTTACTTGCAGGAGCATCTGCAGAAACGGTGGGTTTGGGGAGAGGAAACTGCGTCGAGCCATGTGTAGCATAATTCGTGTGCATAGAAGTGCCACCATAATACAGTGTGCCTCTTTGTGGACCTTAAAATAATACATCATTTGGGGAGCGTCCCTCTTGGTGGTGCTGGGGCTTCAGAGACACCTAATACATCATTTGGGGAGCGTCCCTCTTGGAGGGGGGCTTCACAGACACCAACGATTTACTCCTATAACAAGAGTGTCTGGCTCGGATTGTCGTAAATTAGTGGCCAGAAGGTTGCGTGCATACTCTCGTGCTGCAAAAGGGCTCTCCTCTCAAGCAAGAAGGGAGGCCCTGGTCTGCAAAATCAATTAATTGAGTCGCGGCTCCCTGCTCTTTAGCAAAGGCCGACAGACGGCCTTCGCCTTTTCAGCCAGAGCCAGCGCCTTCCTATTCGCCAAAGTATTGATTAGTCTTTGAACTGAAGCTTAAAATCAGTGCCTTTTAACTATTTCTGAGGAAATGAAGGGAGGCCGATTTGAAGGATGGACTGTACACCAGGCAATAGGGGTGGTGGTGGATTCTGCTCCTGGATTTTATGCGCCTTTGCTTGCCCCTGCAGTGTCTGGTTTTGTTGGAGACATCTGGTATCAAGACCTCTGGCAGCATCTGCGTACCTTGAAGCCACTTCCGCTCCTATTTCTGCAAATCCAAATTATCTGGGCAATATGAAGTCACGCCTTGACACTACATTACTGAGTCCGTCCAGCTCTGTGACTCTCAACTCTTGGTCGGGGTCTAGATTAGTCCACCTCCCGAAAGAGGTATTTGCTACCTTAATCTTTCTACCTGTAAAACATCCTCACATAGAAGCGGACGTTGAAAGCAGAGATACTTGGGGGGGGGTGTAACATAGCAACACCCAGACATCAGAACCACAAAAAAACCCAGGCGCCTTGAGTAAAATGGCTACTGCTTTTTAAAACAAAGGAGAAGGTCTAGCTGAGTTAAATTAGACAGACAATAGTTCAGCATTGCTTTTAAAAAAAGAAAACACGGAGAAGAGGTTAAAGTACAACCAGTAAACATTCTGGGTTTAGAAAAGGGTCACTCCTTTCCTGTTCGGGTTTCACAAAACCCCTGCCCGCAGAAAACGGACAAGGCAAAGACAGAGCAGTGGTGGTTACATAAGCGAAGCCGGACCTTATGCACACCGTGCGGAGCCCTCGGCCGCGGATGCTGCTTTGAGTGAGAAAAATCGATCGACGGCTAAAATGACCACGTGGTGGTAGAGTGGAGCGCTTAGTTTGGGCGGTAAGATGAGAGCAAAGAGGTCAAACTCTGCACTGTTTCCATAAAGATCGGGGATCTAAGTCCAGCGTGTGTTCTAGCTGTCCTACTCTTGAGGACACGACACAGCTAAGGTTAAACATTTCTTTTCCAAAATAAGCTTGTGCTTTACTTTCCCGTTGAATCCATGGCGCTTATTAGTACGACTTCATGGGGAGGGGAGTGTTGTTCAATGGGGCTTACTCCCAGGTAAATGAGTTTAACTTAACCTGGATGAGGAGGTTGGGGTTACTGAATGAACAAGAGAGACCAGCCCACAGTAGAGGATTTCCCACTAAGAGCACAGAAAAGTTACACCGACTGCTAGATACTGTATGAATATTTTTCTCTCGTTTTCTCTTAATTCTGTTCCAGTTCCATCATCTATATATTCGTATACTTTCCAACCCATGGGCTCTCCTGGAGCTAGGGCAAAAATGTTCTGGGTTACAATGCAAAATCACCTGGAACCAGTGAATTTCTGAAGCAGTACCACAAGGGACGAACTGCAAGCTCTGTGGATATAGTTTTAAACTGGAAGCATCATGGAGATGTCTTTTCTCCCCCTTTCTATTTAAATTAGGGCAAGATTGGGCCACCACTGAGCCCTATGAAGATCCTTGAACAAGGCATGACTCTGTCGCTTGCGATCCTAGCCATGTTTACTCGGAACTTAAGTTACAATGCAGAAAGCAAGCAATACACTTGGAAGATAGCTCCAGGTAAGCATGGACTACATCTCCACTGTGATTTTGCTTTCAAAGCAACCTTAGAGTGCAAAGCTAGACATGGACACTCTCAAGTACACCCTACTGAGTTTTCCCACATTGTTGCAGTCCTAAACCTACTTACCTAGGGGCAAATCCCATTAAACTGAATAGTACTTGCTTCTGAGTAGACAGGCTTTATACTGTTACTGGGTTTAAGTGGGCAGCGACATCTTCCAGCCTTTTTCATAGTCTGCTAATTGCTGAGGTGAAAAAAAGGCAGCCTCCCTTGGTGTTTAATCATCTAGCACTGTTTTAGCTCTAGGATGGCAATATTCTTATTTATATGTTTTTCAGACTTCTTGCACTATCTAGAGTGCATTTATTTCTTCTGCTCTAGCAGCCTTAGACACTGTTAGTTAAACATCTATTACTTAGACACTGTTAGTTAAACATCTATCAACCCATTGGCTAGTTTTCTGGCCCTAAACATGGTATCCTTTAGGTTAGTGACTTTGGTGCAGCTGTCACCATAGGTCCTGTATTGGCAATATTTGAAAGGATTACTTCCTGGGGAAGTGTAGTGAGGCAATGAGGCTGTTGCTCATTCATCCAGAGAGAGGATGCTTGTTAGTTTCTCTGACACAGAGGAAGCTGACAACCGCATTTTTCAATTTGTTAGCACATTTAAGGTAACTGAAAAGAAATGGATATTTTAAAAATCACCTTAAATCTGAAAGAGCTGTGTTGTAGAATCAATACTGTTTTCACTACTGGCGTTACTATTTTGTCTGATTATTAGCAACAAATCTTATGACTGTTCTTGACTGTGTTTTACAGTGTTCCAAAATCAAATTGTATATCAAACATCCCAGGTAACCATAAGAAAGTAAAGTTTACTTTTCAACAGCAGTGAGATTTAAAAGAATTATGAGCTTGAGTTGTCAGTATGCTCTGTTAGAAGCAAATGCCCTGGAAACTCTGCAAAATGTAGAGGAAAGGGGGATGAATCATTAACCACACCACATTCTCAACACTTCAAAGCTGGTTAGCCTGCAGCTCTGTTCTTCCTTGAAGGTACAGTCAACCTCATCTGAAAGTTGCAACAGGGCAAGGATTGTCTAGATTGGTCAGTAGCCTCTAGCTGCTAGATCTTAGCTAGTCAGTAGTAGTCTCTAGATAGAATTATTCCACACTGTTTTTGAGAAGAGGACTAATAGGCTTAATTGTAATGGCTTGTCAAAATCCAGCACTAGGCCCATCCTTGCGATTTCTGGAATGAGAGGAAAAGTCTCTAAACTATGTGTCCTTAATCTATCTAGCTTTCACCAGGTGCATTGGACTACAGCACCCATCTTCCCCAGCCAGTTGTCTGGAAAAAAGATAGGACTTGTAGTCCTTTGGAAGTCATCAGGTTGGAACAATTGCTGAGTCGTATATTTTCCTGCCCAAGTAATAATCACAAAGCCTAGATGTCTACAATTTGTGAACAGGTTAAAAGGAACAGCTTCCATTTGGAACTTGAATAAATTAGCATCTGAAGCAAACAGCAAACCCTCTTCTCTCATCTAGCTCAGGACTACACAGCGGGCAGGGTGGAGCTGTATGGAATTCCTTTTCCACCAACTTCTTTCCCCTTGGTTATTCTTGATGATGCTTTCTCTTGAGAAATGTTGCTAACAAGGACATTCTGCAGAAGGAATTATGTTGGAAGATTGGGGATGGGGGTGGCTTCTGCTGTCCCAAGTTTCCAAAGGAATCTGCTTAAATCAGAGGCAGCACTAGCAAAATATCAAGGACTGCTGGCTTCAGGAAAATCCACTGGGTTGGATATTTTCTCTGGGGCTGTCCTGCTACATAGGATTTCAGAGATATTCTCCTATATACTTCTTCCAGTTTCTGCTTTGCAGAGGGGAATTAGGTAATAGGAGAGGGATATTCTGGTCTGAAGAGATTCTATGGGGCAGTGTCCCTTTCTCCTTTAACAAGATCTGTGGAAAGTACCAGCAACCTGTAACATGGAAGTTAACAATCAAAGCATAATTTCCTGAAGGGAGAAGAGTAGGAAGCCACACTCCCGGGAGATGTTGCCATGCCCCCAAACAATTTCTCCCCTTGGAAGGAGGTGTGTTTGCAAACCCAGTGGGGGTGAGATAGTGTTCTGTGTGTTTGTGTGTGGCCAGCAGAGGGAGCAAAAAACAGTCTCTGCGGTGGGAGAGGAGCCGGATGTGTGCATCCTTCCTCCAAGGTGCACGTGAGCCAGGGGTGAGGAAGAGTATTTTCCTTGGCTTGCAACGTGACCTGTTTATTCAATTTCCAAACTGGCATAAGAAGAGAAAAGAACTCGGCAGCACACCTAGCTGAATTTCGTGCAGCTTTCTCTTAGGGTTCTCTGTGGTGACCTCCAGAAAATGTTATTCAGTTCTGTTCCCACCAGCATGAATTTAGGATTCCAGACTCATTGTCCGTACTAAAAGCTCCTTCACAGGACATTCTTCCCCCACCTGGTGGTAACTTTAATGGGCCTTTCTCTTCTTTGCACAGCACACCTTTCCAGTCACGTATACTTGCTGCCCAGAGCACATGCAGATCAGGAACAAGAAGCCTACAGAGGCAGACTGACCTACGGAGAGCCTCTGACCTTATCAGCAAGTACAAAAGCTGGGAGACCGTGTGCCCTCTCTGGCAGAGCAGCTTGGTGGCTCTTTATTTGTTAGAGAAGTGTGTTAATAACGCAAGAACAATAGGACTGCCGGTCTTCTTCCTAGCAAGTGGGAGACAGAGGAGTTAGAATTTTTAAAGCAAGCAAGCATTTCTATATATTAGAACTCCAATAAGATTTTGACTATAAATGGATTCTCCTGCCCAATAGCTACAGACTGGATCACTTAACAATAGGAGGAGGGTATGTGGAAAATGATAGGAACTTTGCCTCAATGAGTCTGGGAGGTGAGATGGCAGACTTTAAGTTCACGTTTACAACTCCATACTTGTCTTAACAAGTTTGAAATATTAAGTAATTTGTTGGAAGTCTCTCCCTTTAACTCCAATGAGGCTCCTGATCATTGGATACTCAGCCTTCTAGAAGTTTATAAAATTTCATAACTTAATTTTCATTAAGGAAGATGTCGTCTATATGAAAAGGAGAAAATCAACTCATTTGATTTATTATTTATTTCATAGTCTCAGTTCTGGTGGACGAGATCATTGGACTAACATGCATCAGTTGCCCTTGCAGAATGAAGAGCAGGTGTTTGGATATCTCCTTGAGCAACAGAGGTACTCTGAGTGGTTCTCATCATTTTGAACCACCAGATGTTTTTGACTTCAACTCCCAAAAGCATTGGCCAAGATGGGCAATGGCTCAGGATTCTTGTAGTTGAAATCTAAAAACATCTGGAGAGCTAAAGGTCAAGGACTGCTATTTGACTTTGGATAGTGAGTGAGTTCAAGTTCTTTGCTAGGAAACCTATCCAGGCTGGGCAAAATATATACAAGGAATACAGAATCATGCTTTTAAAAAAATCCACCAGCTTCCAAGATTCTCCTAAGGTAGAACGTGAACTATGTCCTCTGAAGATGCCGGCCACAGAGACTGGCGAAATGTTAGGAAGAACAAACTTCAGAACACGGCCAAAAACCCACAACAACCACCATTCCCTAATTTATTCAGAAGTAGCTTGGCTGCTTTTTAGCCTTCTCTCCATTCAGAAAGAACCCTTAGGGGCCGGGAGGGGAACGAGAGAATTACAAAACTGCCACCCTGTTGTTAAGGGCCTTAAGCTGCTATCTGAGGAAAAGACAAACCCCTGCAGTTGGAGGTGGATTTTGTACCCACCTATTGCACCTTTAGCTCGGAAATGCACTATCCACTATGTAAAGTGCTTTAACGTCCTTACAGCCTGCTAGCTAGAGGACAAGCCTGCGACTGATCATCATTAGCTCAAGGCCACGCGCTGAGCTTCCTAGGAAAATCTTAGGCAAACTCCCCGGCCTGCCCTCCTCAGCAAGCTCTGACGGAAGTGGATCCGAATTAAGGAAGGGTACGAAGGAATCAAAGCACGGAGGCTGGACCCCAAGGCAGAGGGAGCCTATAGGCATGGATTGAGAACGGACACAAGACGGACTCTAGAGCAGCGAGCAAGAAGAGCAGCCATGGCCCTTCCGGCCCCTCTCCGTCCTCTGGCTGCCCCCACCGCCGGGCTCAAGGTCCCCTCTCCCCTCCTCCTCCACCGCAGCCTCCCATCTGTCGCGGCTCCCCTCCTCCGGCCGGCGTGCTCACCCTCCGGCCGCTCTCATTGTCTGCGTGTCGCTCGCCGTAATATTTATGGCTCCACCCCCCGCGTGACTTTTAGCTCCGAAATGCCACGCGGTGTCTACCCAGTTCGGTTGCGGCTCTATTAATCATCTCCACAAGGACTGCCAACAGGCAAGGCGCTCTCTCTCTTCGCTTTTCAGTTTATACAGAACAGAATCATTTACATAAAGTCCTTAAGGCAAATAACTGTTGGGGCTCTAATTTATATCTGATCGAAAATTAGCCGTCATTATGCGCTCCATTAGCAGCGTCTTTAATGTGCTTCTAAGCACCATTTGTCAAGCGGCTTGTTAATATCCTTCAAGTCTTTAAAGTTGAGAGCTCATTAAAGAGTGCGCTCTGTTATTGATGTAATTTAGATGAGTTTGGAAGAGCAAGTGCGC